GCGCTCGCTCTGGCCGCTACGCCGCCTGCCACCCAAAGGCGGGGCGGGAAGGACGAATGAACCCAACCCAGCCAGGCTGCTCCTCGCCGCCGCCGCCACCCTTCCCCCTCCCGGCTGCAGGATCTCGCGGCTGTGCGGCGGCCAACGCTTTCGCCTCCTCGCCGCGTTCTCCTCAGACCTCGGCGGTGTCCCCGAGATCACGTCCCACCGATCAGTACGCGACCACCACCGTGTTTCTTTCCGCTTCTTTGGGGGCTCGCTCCCTCCCAAAGGCCAGCCCTGAAACGTACACAGAGAAAGAAGGTGTAGCTAATTTGACAACGAACCCAACACCTCTGTCCCCCCCCCCCCCGCACCCATGTTTAAAATGGCCGCAGTTGCATGAAGCTGTCCCTGGCTGTTTGGCTGCCTTCTCTCCCATCTTACCTCCTAAGCTCTAGAGAAAGCCACCGAAGAAGGGAAGCGAGGGATAGTTGGGGTCATTTACTTCGAAATTGCTTAGGGAGGATATAGGGAGTGCATGGACAAATATATTTAGAACTCCCTTCTCAAGTCATTAGCATCAGAGATATTTTTTTTTATCAAACTCTCTGAATAGCTCATTATTATTTTTATCATGCACATATTTGATAGCATAAAGCTTTCCTTCGCAACCAAGGAAACGGGTTGGCATGCTTTCTGATAATAATTGTATAAAAATGTAATGTATATGTAAAAGAAATTGCTGACAGTTTCAAATGTAATGTGAGCAATAAATTCCATAATTTGCCCTGAGGCTCCTTTTGTTAATGGACGGCTCTAGGTAAATGTGTAGCATCACAATCTCAAATAATATGACCATTCTTCGTTATTCTAGACACAGTCTTGATGAGTCCTGTATTGTGCAGCCATAGAAGAAAACATGAACGCAAATTTTGGGGTGATTTCAGTGTAATTGCTGCAGCATTAATATCTTTCAACTTGCCTATTCCACCATTTTTTAGGAACTAATCTACCACAGTGGGCCGAAAATATTCCACTTCCACCTTTCCCTTACCTATTAACTTAAGACCACATGTAACTCTGGAAAACATTTGGTATTTCTATTGTATTTTTAAGAGTTACATCTCTTTTTTATTACCTGTTTGTATGCATTGGTTGTAACAATCCTTACAAGCAGCTTGATTGGCTTATAGATTCCTTTATTTTTTTTTAATTTTTGAAAGCTGACTGTGGTTTGTATTAATAATATTACTATAATTAATAGGAGTTATAAAAGTAAATGCAGGTAGTCCCCAGTTTAAGAATGAGTTCCATTCCCAAGATCTGCCCTTAAGTCAAATTTGTATGTAAGCTGGAACAATATTATTGTATAATATTGTATAAGTAGTATTGTGTAATTAACTCAAATCACTGTGTATTTAACGTGAATTTTGCTACAGTAGGCTCCATTCTTAACTATCGGTCATCTGTGACCCAAGCGTTCTTAACCCAGGAACTACCTGTAAGGTGAATCTTAAAATACTCTTGTAATTCAATCTTAAATATACTCAACAAAGAAACCTGTTGCTGGTTTGTCTTCAGTCATATCTTAGGGCTTTTAAAATTTATTTGAGAACTTTGTATATATTGCTTTTCTATTATAATTCATTGTGATTTACAACATAAAAACAATAAAATCTTTATAAGCAAAACAAATTTTAAATCAAAAATAGCCAAAGAAAAAGCTAAGATTAATGTAAAATTCCAAAAATAATATTACAGGAACCTAATTATCATAGTAATAGTACTTAGTAGCAACAGAGTAAGTTTTTTCTTCTTCAGACTCCCTGCATACATAGTTCTGTATTCTCAAGGAAGGTTCATTTTGCTGATAACTGCAAGGAAAAATACTCATCACCACCATCTTTTCTTCTGTCAGGTAATAATGTCCAAGGGCAGTCTTAAAATCTCTCTTATCCTATCCATCAATCTTAGCCATTCTCTTCTACTTTCAACCTTCCTAAGCATGCTACTTTTTTCTAGTGCTTTGTCCACTTGTATCACATTCAGAATAAGTGAGTTTCTGTTACTGATCATTACTCTCAAGGGAAAAGTCATTATTTGGTCCAGGTTCTTTTTACTGTCCATGGTGCTCTTACTAACCATCCCTAAACCCATCACTTGAAGGCTACTATTTTTATATCTAGCTTTAATAACCATACATTATCATTGGAAACTGGAAAGATGACTGCTTTAGCTATACCAATATTTGTCGTCATTTAAATGTCATTCATGATCTTGTCTAACTTGTTACTGCCTTCCTCCCTGGGATTAACGTGTTTTCTTTTTTAGCACGTTGTCTAAACTTATTTATTCTTGAGCCCAAGAATCAAAAGTATCCTCTTCACTTTCAACTATAAATTCACCAGGCATCCAAACTGTCATTATAACCTGTCTCTTTGATATTTAACATTAACCCAGATTTTTCATTTTCTATTTTTAATTTCACAATGTGCTCTTCTAATTATTTTTTATTTTTAGCTAATGTCATATTCCCTGCCTATCTCAAATTGCTAGTTGTTTTGACCTCCAAATTCACTTCCAATCTTGCCTTTTTTCTATTTGCTATATAAATTAAATAGATATGAGAACAATATATATCCTTACCTTATTTTCTTGTGTATTCTAAATAGTAGAATAGGTTTGCAGGTACAGAAAAAAGGAAGAGGAGGTAGTGGTGTTAGAGCACACCTATTAGCCACATATTCCACGTTTTGGCCTAAACTACATAGCAAAAGGTCTTGCTATAATTCGTGAAGCAAAGATAAGTGTTCTTGTATTCTCTCATTCTTTCCATTATTCATCTTAAATTAGCTATCTGATCTCATGTCTCTTTTTTTTTTAAGTGTCTATTCATTTAGCTTTCCTCTCCCCATGTATGGCTCTAATCTTCATAACAACTTAAATAAAATGTTCTGTGAAAAATTAGTGCAATGATTCAATAATTTGCACATTCTTCTGCATCTCCCTTTTTCAAATTAGGTACATGCAGCAATATTTTGAAATCTTTAACATTGATTTGTACCATAATTTCAACGTGCCATCCTGAATTCTTATGGTAAACATAAATAGATCTATATATTTTACATACACACACACATACACACACACACATATATATATATATATACATATCCTCTAGAAAATCTTTTCGTAGAGAAGACAAAAAGGCTGATTTTGATGGAAAGAAAAAATGTTTTTAAGTGTATAAAAAGGGCCAAACAAGGAGTATTCAGCAGAGTGAAAGGAAATAAAAATTAAGATGATTAAATGATTTGGGATGAAACAAGTGAGAGAATGATGGAATGAGTGCTATAAATGAGAATATGCTAAAAAATTGTTGAAAAGGAAGACATAAATGCTGTGAACTGTTGAAAAATGTTATGGCTACAGATATAACTAGAGAAATGCTTAGGCTGCAGATATAACCGGAGAGATGGTAAAATATG